ATATTATGAGAAAATGAAAGCTTGCTTTACCTTTGATGCATGTTAAACCTGTTTGTAGGAGACTTTCAAAACAACATTAGGGGGACTTTAAAATTACAATAACGGAGCACTTAAAAAAAAAAAACACACACACATATCCACAAGTTTCCGAGGGGCGCTCCTGTAAAAAATAAAGTGGGTGAAACTTCCGGTGACGCGGCGGAAGTAGCATTCCAATGGTATTTTGTGTGTTAGTTAGCGAAGAGGCTAGCTGTTTTTCGGAGAATTATTTTACTATTTAAAGACGCAAATCTTTATGAGAGATGTCGTTATGGAGCTCAGGGACAACATGTGCTGTTCACGGTTGTAGGCCTATGTATAACCGGATTAAACTAGTTCAGTGGCTTAAACGTGATTGTTTTGAACATAAGCTGAAAACGAAATCACAGTGATCCTGCCGCCCGTCTCTGATCCTGCCAACGACTGTAGTTTCCATCACCTCCCAAAAGACGACGAATCTTCCTGTGTACATTTGTTTAAATTCTTAATATTCTATAAACTCTCTCAGCATGTGTTTGGCTGTTCTCTACTGATGTTACACCTAAACTCAGGATCAAAGCCTGTGTTGACAGAATACCAAATGTGCCAGTTAATGTATTCCAGTAGGCCTACATTCATTTATAATTTTGAATAAACTCCAAAGCACAGTGACGAAGTGTGTATTTTTTATTTGAATTGTTTGTCAGCTCACACAACTGCCTGTCACCATGCCTTGATGAGTATTGATTATAAATAATGTTATTATAATACTCCCAATCAACTACTGCAGAGGGTAAAGGTACTGTTATTTCACCCTTTTTAATTTCGTTGAGGTTGTGTTCCCACATCGTTAGCTAGTTTGGATCGCTATAACTTGAATGACTGTCAACTGTTGAATGAACGAGTGTTAAGCATGTCAAACCGCGCTTTGTTTACTTCCAACCGGAAGTCGCGCCCACTTTTGACGCAAGGCCTCATGGGGCGTAGGAAACTTGTGGATAAACAACAAAAAAGCTTGATTTTCACCACAGGGGGGACTTTAACATGAACTAACTCTACAGCATTATTAATCTTAGTCTCAACATTTACTAATTTATTTATTTATTTATATATACACAATTGAGACTCTATTGTATAGTTACCAAATATCCATTTAAAAGGAACAAATTCCTGGTTTGTGTTGATAAAAAAAAAAAGCCTATGTGAACCCTAAAACAATGAAGGTTAGGAAAAACTGCACCATTAAAATCCCAGTGAATTATGACCGTCTCAGTTCCACATCTGCTTGTTACTAAACATCGCCATCTAGTGAATTTGCATGTTGTAGTCAGTCTGTTCTTTTGATCACTTACAATACTGAAGCCAAAAGAGTTTACAAAAGATAATGGCTAAAATATCAACTTTCAACATGAATATTCTGGTTTGATATTATACACAAAACAGTTCTACGGGGAATAGTTATGATGTGAGTGTAATGAAGTTCCTTTATTTTTGCCTAGTGGCATATTGAAAGAGGAAATACTGCATAGTAATTTAGCTTCCCTTGGAACAGGCTATTTGCAATGATGGTGTCTATGGAGCTCACAGCTTCTGTGTCTGTATTCCAGATTTGGGCAGAGTCTCCGATGTGGAATAATTTTTCCCTTCCGACATGAAACCTGGGTTGTCGTAGGGGTGTGCTCGCCCCCTCAGGCTGTGAATGTCATAACGGGGGATACGGATTGAGTTCATGGCTCTCATGGGAGTTGTCCCTTGGCCTTGGCTTTGGGAGATGTCTTTCCTGCCACAGCTGGATGGACAAGATTCAGACGTTAGGAAAATAAATTGCACTGGGATTAGACATTACATTCAATTATATATTGAGTATGGAAACTTGTTTCTGCCACAGAAAATAAAAAAAGGTAATTGCTTTTTTTCTCCCAATTGCGAGTTTACATCTTGCAATTCTGATTTGCTGGATATAAAGTTGCAATTGTGTGTTGTAAAGTCAGATTTGTAAGATATAAACACACAATTGCATGTTATAAGGTCGGAATTGCGAGATATAAAGTCGTATTTATGGGTTTATGTCATTGGAAAGTGTGATTCAAGTGTCTATATTTTGGGACCACTGTATTTTTGAGGTGGACATGATTTAAATGATAATACGTACCAGGCTACGCATAGCATGATGAAGAAAAGGAGTAAAAGCAAAGCCGCAGCCACACATAGGATGGTAGTAATGACAACCATGGCACCAGATCTCGCACTTAGACCTTCATTAATGCTTTGAGGGTTTTTATCTGTATGAACAGATTATTAAGATATTAATTACTACAATAGCAGAGTGGTTATTCAAATGATTTGATATTATGAATTCTTACTTGTCATAAGAGGAATGCTATCAGACCAATCTGATGACCTAACAACAGTATTCTGGTTCACATCGATAAGAAGATACTTGAAACTGTGAAAAACAAAAAAGTGAAAAACAGTTGCAATACATTAACAGCAAGCTTAAGATACTTTGAAACTGCAGTCTTCTTACAAACTACAGTATTTTAAATAAGGAAATCATTGCAGAAGAATACCAGCATTTTAGAAGTATTATACTTTTGTAGAATCTTGTAAACACACAAATACTGCATTATGTTAGGGATTTTTCAATGACTCTTTTCTTCAGGTTACATTGTTACACCAGTAGGTGGCGACACATGACTGTCTTTATGAGTGAATCGTTGAATTATTCACTCAATGTTTAGTTCCATCTTCCAACGCACTTATTAATTCAAGAACGAATTAAACTATTGTATTTTGATTAGATAATGGCAAAAGTTGACTTCCTTTAAAACTATTTTCGGCTTGAGGAAACAAACAGGCAACGTTGTGTCTTAATCGAATTTACTTTTTTTAAGCTGTTGTATAATAGAAATCTTAGACTTGCAATCGTTCTGTAGATCTGAATATCATCACAGCAGTGCAGATATTCAGCAATGGCACTCGTTCATGGGATATTGATCAAATAAATCCACCATCAATTTATTATTAAAGGTTTTAACAACATCAGAAAAATTAGTCACATTTACCATTCCTCAGAGAAATTTCATGCATGAAATCAAGTAATTACAATAGGCATATGTTTGGCATTTCCAGAGAGCGTACAGATTTTGCTTGTGTCCAAGTTGATCAAATTCCCCATGTTGACCAACAGAAACCTGCCTGGTTTGAAAGTGATTTCTCTCATGATTTGATACAATACTGACACTACTGAATTTAGCCTAAATTTCGCTAATGTGGTCACATTTCTACACATCTACCAATGTTAAAATAATTTTCACGGGCGAAATCCATAGGGATTCGCGGCAATGGGAATTTCATGCGAGGATGAAAAATCTCCCCATGCAGATTTCGCATCAGGTTCAGTTTGTCATGCAGATTCTTCACATTGACCAACAGAAAGCTTCTTTATTTGAAAGTGACTTTTGTGTGAGCTATGATTTATTCATCGTTACACTATTGACAATATACACTCACCTAAAGGATTATTAGGAACACCATACTAATACTGTGTTTGACCCCCTTTCGCCTACAGAACTGCCTTAATTCTACGTGGCATTGATTCAACAAGGTGCTGAAAGCATTCTTTAGAAATGTTGGCCCATATTCTATTCTATGTTGGCCCTTATGGGATAGCATCTTGCAGTTGATGGAGATTTGTGGGATGCACGTCCAGGGCACGATGATCCTGTTCCACCACATCCCAAAAATACTCTATTGGTTTGAGATGTGGTGACTGTGGGGGCTATTTTAGTACAGTGAACTCATTGTCATGTTCAAGAAACCAATTTGAAATGATTCAAGCTTTGTGACATGGTGCATTATCCTGCTGGAAGTAGCCATCAGAGGATGGGTACATGGTGGCCATAAAGGGATGGACATGGTCAGAAACAATGCTCAGGTAGGCCGTGGCATTTAAACAATGCCCAACTGGCACTAAGGGGCCTAAAGTGTGCCAAGAATACATCCCCCCACACCATTACACCACCACCACCAGCCTGCACAGTGGTAACAAGGCATGATGGATCCATGATCTCATTCTGTTTACGCCAAATTCTGACTCTACCATCTGAATGTCTCAACAGAAATCGAGACTCATCAGACCGGGCAACATTTTTCCAGTCTTCAACTGTCCAATTTTGGTGAGCTCTTGCAAATTGTAGCCTCTTTTTCCTATTTGTAGTGACGATGAGTGGTACCCGGTGGGGTCTTCTGCTGTTGTAGCCCATTTGCCTCAAGGTTGTGTGTGTTGTCTTCAAAAATGCTTTGCTGCATACCTCGGTTGTAACGAGTGGTTATTTCAGTCAAAGTTGCTCTTCTATCAGCTTGAATCAGTCGGCCCATTCTCCTCTGACCTCTAGCATCAACAAGGCATTTTCGCCAACAGGACTGCCGCATACTGGATGTTTTTTTCCTTTTCACACCATTCTTTGTAAACCCGAAATGGTTGTGCGTGAAAACCCCAGTAACTGAGCAGATCAAAATTGCTTAAATCTCCTTTCTTTCCCATTCTGACATTCAGTTTGGAGTTCAGGAGATTGTTTTGACCAGGACCACACCCCTAAATGCAAATGCAACTGAAATGTGATTGGTTGATTAGATAATTGCATTAATGAGAAATTGAACAAGTGTTCCTAATAGACAGAGCTTTTTTCCCTAAATGTTTCTTATGTCACTGTGTTTTGTCTATGCTACTCACAGTAAAAGCTGTTTTTTACAGTCGAGCTAAATGTAGTTAAGTAATGACGACGTGACATTGAAAGGAGAGTTTTGTTGGCTTTTGTAATCTTAAATCCTGGAAAATAATTAACATTTTAGAGTCAACATGAATTGTCTTTAGCATTTCCAATGGGTTTTAAGAAATGTATGTAAAATGAAGTCTGATGTTCACATTGCATTAAAAGGTCCTACCTAACTTTGGATCCATCAGGTAATATTCCATTACAGTTGGGTGTAGTACATTTCCCCTCTTTTCCGACTTGGAAGTACAAATCATTGGAGGAACCATCACAGGGGAAGATTTCCAGACGTCCAACTCTAGTCACAAAGAAGTTCTTCGATGATTGGTCAAACGCTGTTGGGTAGGGTGACACGCTGAGGATGTCGGACGGTGAGTTTTGAAGTTGAGCATCAAAGGTGCTGATCGCTAAAAGTGAAAGAGGTTTGATAATTTAAACAGATCGAAGCATTTGCATTCGATATTCAGAGACCTGCAACATTTTAGAACAATGACCCCCGGTTTCACAGACAAGGCTTAAAGGAGTTCACTTTAAAAAAAACTTTTGCTGATAATTTACTCACCCCCATGTCATCCAAGATGTCCATGTCTTTCTTTCTTCAGTCGAACAGAAATTAAGGTTTTTGATGAAAACATTTCAGGATTTTTCTCCATTTAATGCACTTTACTGGGACTCAAACGGTTCAAGGTCCAAAAGAGACTTTCAGTGCAGCTTCAAAGGGCTTTAAACGACACCAGACGATGAACGAGAACGAAATGACTCAGAAAAAAGATTTGTTTATTTTGATGAACGAGTGAAGATGACGAACAGGAGAGTCACGATCGTGCATCACAGAACAGAGCATGTGTGCTTATAAAACTTAAACATTTGTATTTATTTTTGAAATGACCGATCGTTTCGCTAGTCAAGACACTTATTCATCGTCTGGTGTCGTTTAAAGCCCTTTGAAGCTGCACTGAAACTCTCATTTGGACCTTGAACCATTTGAGCCCCAGTAATGTGCATTACTGTATATGGAGAAAAATCCTGGAATGTTTTCATCAAAAATCTTAATTTCTTTTCGACTGAAGAAAAAAGACATCTTGGGGTGAGTAAATTATCAGCAAAAGTTTTTTTTAAAAGTGAACTAATATAAGTCTAGTCCCAGACTAAAATGCATGTTTGAGCTGTATTAACTGACAGAAACTTTCTCTGACAAATCTTAAAATATGGCATTGGCATTGTTTTGTCTCAAGATTCACACCAGTAATGTTTTTTTTTTTTATTTGCATATTTATAAAATTAACTTAAATGTCATAATTTAACTCCTGGCTTAATCTAAGGCTAAGCCATGTCTGCGAAATGAAACCAAGATTAAAATCAAGTTTAAAAAATCAAGATCAAGAAAATCAAGAAAACCAAGTTTAAAATCACGCACATCTGGGCTCAACATTATGGACAGCCAGTGCTATGTTCATATGAATAAATATAGTAGTACTGTACTGGGCAACGATTAATTGCGATTAATCGCATCCAAAATAAAAGTTTGTGTTTACATTATATATGTGTGCGTATAATTATTTTGTACATATAAATACACACACATGCAAGTACATATTTAATCTGTTAGTCTGTTAATCATGTAAATATTTGTATTTATATATGATATGAATTATGTTTAAACTGTTAAATCGTTTAATTTTCAACAGTGAAAATGAGAAATGCACTTGAGCAGCAAATTCAGTGTAAAAACGATCCTTCAGAAATCATTCTAATAAACTGATTTGGTGCTTATGTAGCATTTCTTATCAATGTTGAAAATTGAAGTTGTGAAACAACAATTGGAACGTGTTTTTCTTTTCTTTCGTTACATTATATGTCTTCTTTACTGTCACTTTTGATCAAATTAATGTATGCTAAAACAACAATTCCAAAACCTTATATTTTGTGTGTTTGTGTGTGTGTTAACATTCTACATGTCTACAAGTTGGCAGAGCAAGAGAAAATCTGTGTTATTTCCAGCAAACAAAATTTACAGAAGCCCTGAATCACAACCTAAAAAAAAATCTGGCATTTCGAGATTCAAGTTGAAAAATTTCGAGATTAAATTCGAAACATTTCGAGAGACGAGAGTACGAGAATACAGTCTTCCGTAGAAGCTGCGCATGTGTGCTTGCCATTGTCTCACATTGCCGCACACACAGGCATTCATAATGGCCAGTAGCGAGTTTCACACTGTGTGTGTGTGTGTGTTTTATTTCATCAAAGGAAATTCAACAGGTGCCAATCTACTAGCAGTAGGCTACTATTATAGAACGTTATAAAATATACTGTGCCGGAATAGACTTTAGCCTATAGAAAAACCAACACGGAAAACGCTTTTCAGACTGGATGGAGAAATCCAGCTTTATGAATGAATGAATGAATGAATGAGGCATTTATATAGCGCTTTCATATGTCTACTAGGCCTACACTCAAAGCGCTTTACAATCATATCAGAGAATCTCTCCTCAACCATTAGTGGTTATTAAATCTTAGGAAATCACAGGATCCAGACAAATGATTGGATACAGAATGATGCACTTATGTATTCAGAACGTATTTACAGTGAAGAGACAGAACGGTTACTGTTGTGTTCTCGACCCAAATAGTGTTGACTACAAGCACGAAAACATCTCAGAAACACTGCCACTAGCATATGTGGAGAATTTTGTTGAAAGCCCAGATAAAAGTAAAAAGCTACTATTTTGTGTTAATTCACGGCAGTTCGACACAAGTGCATTTCTTTACACAAACACACACACACTCGCGCGTGCTCTGAGCCAGTGGACGCACACTGTTATGAATGCACACACTTCTATGGAAGACTGTAGCCTATTATCGTAATGTTTTGACTATATTCTCGAATCGTTTCAACTTTATTCTCGAAACGTTTCGACATTAATCTCGAAATCTTTCGACATTAATCTCGAAACGTTTCAACTTTAATCTCGAAACTTTAATCTCGAAACGTTTCGACTTTAATCTCGAACCGTTTCGACTTTAATCTCGAAACGTTTCGACGTTAATCTCGAAACGTTTCTGCGTTAATCTCGAAACGTTTCGACGTTAATCTCGAAACATTTCGTCTTTAATCTCGAAATATTTCGACATTAATCTCGAAACATTTTGACGTTAATCTCGAAACATTTCGTCTTTAATCTTGAAACATTCCGACTTTAATCTTGAAATGCTAGATTTTTTTTTTGGATTTTTTTTATGTTGCGGTTTAGGGCTTCCGTACTAAATAAAAAAAATCAATTAAATGATTGAACCCTGACCTTAATTTGTAAAGATATTTTACCTGAAGTCAGCGCAGCTACCAGCCATATCTCACAGCCAACGCATGGCCCTTCAAAAACACAAAACGGCTCCTTCAGTATTACCGTATTGCTGGTGATTTTGCCTTGTAAATCAGGTGAGAGCTGGGGCTTGAATAACGACTGACCTGTAGACAGAAAAAGAATCATTTAAAGCGCAATTTTAAATAACCACATTTATTCTATCCCAGAATAATAGCAGGTTCAGCCCTAATTCACATGCACTTGTCATAGGACAATGGATTGCGTTACACCTAACAACCCCAAATATTCACAGTGACAGGTGTATTGATTGAAAAACGGGGCAAGGAACAGAACATACAGGCTCAGTCTTGCCTTTCTTGTGTGTTTGCCTTCTCCTGAGACTCTATCTGGAATTTCTATGACTTGTATGAACATGACACGTGAGACGCAGGTGTGTCCAGCTCCTGGAAGGCCACTGCCCTGCAGAGTTTAGCTACAGCTTGAAACAAGTTTCTAGTATGCCCAAGGCATTGGTTAGCTGGTTCGGGTGTGTTTAATTGGGGTTGTATCTGAACTCTGCAGGACAGTGGCCCTCCAGGAGCAGAATTGCACACCAATGCGAAAGGCTTCAATATCACTCTACAAAGGTTCAGTGGGTACCTATACAGAATCTTAGGGTTTTTTTTTATTTTAAAGAACCTTTTATGCCAAAAAAGGTTCCATATGATCCATTAAATCATTGCATAGTAGTTTCACGTTAAATGTTTTTCTCCATTTTTTTAAGTGATAAAGTATGCTTACGAGCTGTTTAATTCATACCATTTTACCATAAATAATAAATAAATGAGTGAAAACAAAAGTATTACATTTAAATCCATAAAATAATCCCATGATGGAAACCCCTAAAAGATTATATGAATTATACTATATTATATTATATTATGAACTAAAAGAGTCTTTAATATCTGAATTAGGTAATTTGAAAAAGTGTTCCTATGACTTGCTATAATTAATGATACTTAAACAGATAGATCACCCAAAAATGAAAATTCTGTCATCATTTAATCACCCTCCAAAACTTGTTCCGAAACTGTATGAATTTCTTTCTTGTGCTACAATGTTACAATATAAAACAAAGTATATTTGTTGTGTGCTCTGCATATGTTGCACAATGGGGGAGGAAAGGAATTATAGCGAGTATGCTGGGCAGGGGTGTGAGCTTCTGGGCAGGACTGGCCATCCTTCACCAGGGGATGTTACACAAGATGCTAAATAACTGAATAACTTAAAACACACTGTAAAAAATGTCTAACCTCCCAACTCAACATTTTCTAGTGACAGGTCACATCTAAATTTTTCAATGGGCCCAAGTGAAATTCTGCAAATAGATCAAATTAAATTAGCAGATTCTCACTTGGGCCTTTTCAAAAATTTAGATGTGACACTAGAACATTTTGAGTTGGGAGGTTGAAAATGTTTTATAGTGCACTCAACACCCCCAAAGAATATATATTTATGTTTTTTTCTTCTTCTCTGTCTATACCTTTTTTTTCTTGTCTATTCTTAATAGTTATTTTTCTGTTTATGGTCTTTTTCATTCTCTTTCTTTACCTTTTTTTTCTCTATTCTTATATTTATTTATCTGTTGTTTTTTTTTGGGGGGGGGGGGGGGATTGGTCGATATGTATATTTCGTTAAATTTTTCTATATATTTCTGCGATTTAAAAAAGTGTATATATATATATATATATATATTTTACTTTAAAAGATATTCTGAAGAATGTCAGTATAACCAAACAATTGATGAAACCCATTGGCTTTGATGGTATTTTTTTTTTCATACTGTGGAAGTCAATGGGGCCCATCAACTGTTTGACTACAACATACTGTATCTTCATTTGTGTTCATCAGAATAAAATTCATACAGGTTTGGAACAACTTCAGGGGGAGTAAATGATGACAGAATTGTTCATTTTGGTGAAATAACCCTATTTTTAATAGTTGTTTAATTTAAAAAAATGCATTTGAATAGACAAGTATACCTTGCAGAATCTGCAAAATGTTAATAGATTTAACAAAATAAGAGGTATCATAAAATGTTAAAAACTACTCTGAATAAACTAACAGATCCAACTAACAGATGTTAACATAGCACAAGATCACCAGCTGTTCTGGCCTGGATGTACACCAGTGGGCACTCTAACCCCAACCCTCTAGTTCATCGTTATTCTGTCCCGGACTACACTTCCCACAATCCTCTGCCTGGGCTCGTCTCTCTTGATTGTTCTCATTATCTTGTCAGTCCCTGCCTATATAAGCCTGGTTCATTCATTGTGAAGTATTGTATGTGTCTGTATTGCATTTCTTGTTGCTTGTGTCTTGATCTTTGTTTTGATATATGCTGGATATTTCCGATCTGTGGTGTGTGCCTTGGACTCGGCCTAAGTTTGGACTGTGTTTACCCTGTGCTTTTGACTACGATTGTGTTTGGATCCTCAACCTTGCGCCTCTGTGCAGTTTCATGACAATAGCTGATTTTATTTAAAAAAAAAATGAAATACACTTGATTCTTAATACTGTTAGTCACTACCTGGATGACCCTACTTTGTTAAAACCAATTAACATTTTGCAGAATCTGCAAATATTAAACAAATATTAAGTACATTCAGACAATTTGTATGTCCCTAATTATCATATTATACATTTTGTATGTATTGCTTATTAGGAATATTGGCAACACAGTCCTGTTCCCCATGTACATACTATGTACTTATTATAGCAATCGGGCAATAACTGGGTAAAACAAGGTCTGAACCTACCCTCAACCCATGTAGCTACCGTATAGTCTAAATTTCTTAGTTTAGTACACAAAATGCATGTGTACTGCACCTGGAATATTTTCTCATTTTTATTTTTAATTCAGAAGTGAGCAAAAATATTTGTGTAGGCCCATATCTGTATTTGTTCTGCATTGTAAATCTGTCCCATTTCATTTCTGTGAGATCTGCATTGTGACTGTGTGAATCTGTGTGTGTGTTCTTGGAATGGTACTCTGATATTCGTGTGTGTGTGTGTGTGTGTGTTAACATCCTCTTAAGTGTCCCGCCCCCTTTTTTGAATAAACATGAAAATGCACAATCCAAACTTAAATGGTAATAATTCAAGAATACTTTGTAAGATTGGTCTTGTTTTAAAGAAGACATCGGGGAGCTTTTTGTAGAAGAATAAAGAAAGTGAAACAGAAAAAAAAGTTTTAGAAGTTTGAGTTTATGAAAATGTAAAATGTAATTATTCATATTTTATATAAAATATACTTTTTCCCCCCAAAACCTGGTGGACTCTAACACTGCAAGAAAATCAAAGACAAAACTGTTTAGTTGTGTTTCGAATTTTAGGATGATATCTCAAAAAACAAGCTTTCGGTAAGATTTTGTTGCGCAGTACCAAACTTTCTCACTAGATGACAACCAGACTCCATTACTGCCCATATAAGGGCGCCTCCATTTCCATGTATTTTAGGTGACCTGAACCATTATTTCCACAATTTTCACACAATTTATGATGTAGACATTCTATTCAGACGTAAGGGAAGTTTGGCATATTTTGATATGAATTCAACCTCAATAATAACATAACAAGAACACGCATGTGCGCTATAGCTCGTTGCCACATCACAAATGGTGAATCCTTAATTTTTTTTTCTTTATATTTAAAACATTTTCCGATCCTTTATTTTCTTAAAAAAAAAAGAAAAAAAAAAAAGTAATGGATGTTCTCTTTTGAACTATTGGCATTAAAACAAACTGAAGTTTCTACCATTCTTTAGTGTTAATCAATATTTCAAAATAAAGGTCTTTCACCAAATATGAAAACTACAGATTGTAAGCTTTCAAATTATATATAGTTTGTCAATACTAATTTAGGTTTAGTATTGGATATTACTGTTTTAAATATGGAATTGCTAACTTTTGCTAACTAAATTCATTCCTTATGTGGGTCAAATTCACCCGTAAGTAAAAGGATTTATTGCTATTTTTATGACAACAACAAAAACTTGAAATGGGTGTACATTCCCATTTCAAGTGTGAAAGCCTCAGATGAACTTCAGTTGAGTTTAAAATATATTAATTTCAGGTCATAATGGCCAGAGGAGAGGAGTATGGGTTAAACAGCATGATTAGAGAATAAATTAAGTGTATTTGTGATATAATGCTAAAACCAGATGTGGGGTTTTAGATTATAGTCCAATTCTCACTATTAACTAATAGTTATGACTTTTGCTTCAATAAAATCCCAATTACTGATAATTAATAGTTAGTAACCTTGTTACCTTGCTAGTTAAGGTATGTGGTAGGATTAATATGGTCATGCATTAATATGTACTAATAAACAGCCAATATTCTTATGCATGCTAATAAGTCAAACATTGATAATTAAAATGCACTTACCTTCTCCGGTCCACATCCAGATAGACAGCAATGACATCAAGCGGATCATTGCATTTGTGTTCATCTTGTAACAAGGATGCAGATAGTTTCTAACAATTAAAATCCAGAGTAGAATCACACCAACTGGTGTCTGGAAGGCAATAATCAGCCTGGCAGATACGAATCAACTCGTATAAAAAGAATATGAAGGGAGTGGAGTTTCTCATGAGGGTGTGTGAATCCAGGTAGAAACTGGGAGGTACTTTGGGCACAAAAAAAAAGTGCTTTGAAATTCCAAAGTCTTATTATTGTTCATTTGTAAGCTTTGAAAAATGCTTGAATCATTTATAATGCTTTCTGCTTACATATTTTTGATTTGACAGTGCCACAATTACAGTCTCAAGGTACCCACAATTGTGTAGTTACAACATGTGACCAACAAATCTGGTGCTTGAATGAATGGAAAATAAAGCCGTCGGACGAATGGCTGTTAGAATGAGTAATGTTAAGGTTAACAAACCCCATTTCCACAAAACAATCAAATGACGTGCGTCGACATATCCAAAAACAGGGGCGTGGAGTTTACTCATACAATATATCAATAATAAGACAAGCAGTTCTTAATTCCTTATGTCTTGAGGGAATAACTTAGGCATGAAAAAAAGTATTTACACAATCATATTGGTTTTCGTTGACAAACTAAGCATATTCTGCAACCCCAGAAACTGTAATAATATACAAAATTGTGTTTGAGGTAAAACCAGCTCAACCAGACCAGATTAGTCATGAAGCATATTAACTTGCTTATAGTCAAAAGTAATTTACATTTTATCTAAAGTTCTCTTTCTGTTAAACGCCCCACACGTGAATGTGTAAAACTCATATTTGCAAAGACTAGACTTGTGAGTTGAAATCACGACACAGTAATAATACAATATCCATAATTTCATAGTGGTGAATTAGATTATGAACTATGGCTATTAACAGAATTGAGAGAATAATGTAGCGTTGCTCTTTTCATAAATGAACCTTGTTGTCATGTATACCACATTCCTTAAATGCAGAGTCATTTAAGGAATGTGGTATACATGACAACAAGGTTCATATGAACTAATGTAATGAACTGCTAGTCCTTTAATTTGTCATAAATATTTTGTTAATGCTGAGATTATTGCGCATTTAGATGAAACATTAGAAATTAGAGAACATGTGTGGCATTTTAAATGCATGTGCGTACATTTTATAAAAAATAAAGTAAATCATTATATCTATTATTATAATGTGTCTCCATAAATGAGGTCAGATGAACACATAATAATTACAGGATTTGCAAAAAATATTTTTTCAGGTTAAAATTTTCTGGTCTCAGAAAAATGTGTGGTCTAAGACATTTGGACCCATTATATATATATATATATATATATATATGCGTGTGTGTGTAAATATATATATATTTATATATATATATACACATGTATGTACATATAACCCTAACAGTTTTTTTGTTTGTTTAAAAAAAAAAAAAGTCTTACTCATTGCCACATTGTTGTTTGATCAAAAATACCGGTAGTTAAAACAGTAATATTGTAAGATATTACATTTTAAAATTACTGTCTATTTTAAAATGTAATTGATTCCTGTAATTGCAAAGCTGAATTACTAGCAGCCATTTTCAGTTTCATTAAACTCCAAACACAACTATTCCCCTTGAGGTTTATTTAAAAAAAAATACATATTTACAACAGAATAAGTCAATCCAGGTAAAATTATTAGTAACACTTTACTCAAAGCCTTTATGTATAATGCCCTATAAATGTATGCATAGTGCACATTATAATGAACTAAATCTTTTCAAAAATAATTGTAACCAAAGTATTGTTTATCGTGTTTTTCAATGCATCATCCTTTCTTAAGGCGTGTTCAGTGAATATATAAGTATTAGAATATTATAATAACTGAGATTACAATTATTAAAAAGATTAAGATCCATTACAAGCATAACTAATGCTTTAAAACACTTTTAAAATGCATTATATTTGAAGGCTTCAAGTAAAGTGTTCCCAAATTATTTTATCGACACTCCAGTGAAGAAAAACATGCAGCTTTTCAAAGGTCCAAGTCAAGTGTTGAACATCAGACCACATCAACCTCAAGCGTTTAACATCAACCATAAAGGATGCCAGAGCACTTCTGAAACATTTCAAACAGCGTTGCAGGAACACGATTTGATATTGGTTCTTTGTTTGAAGTGTTTTTGGCATCACATGGTAAATAATATATGCTGGATATTTCCAGTCCTTCGTTCGTTCACCTCTTCCCCATGATGAAGCTGGGCACTTCTGCATCATCATCTCGTTCCTCTGCTTCAGAAGCCGAAGATGGCGACGACGACTCAGAGCCTGCTGACACAAACACCGCTTAGATGAAAGATGAGTCCATCAAAAACAGCAGTAACAAATACAGTGGCTATATTAGATATTCACATTCATGTTACAACACTGAAGCATAGTGGATTTATTTGGCTTTTTTGCCAAATCAATTAACTGTTAACTATTATTAATATTTAGAAGATAAAAAAAAAAAAAATTCAGTAATACCACAGAACATGACCATGGGAGGGAACTTTATTTTATTATCTCTAACCTTCTTTCTGGCTCTCCATCTTGGCTTTCTTTGCCATCAACTTCTTTTGCTTCAACTTTTCCCTAAATAACACAAATTGAACAATTGACATTTAGAAACACAAGAAAGAAATTAAGAGCTTTGTAGAGATTATAGAATCTGAATCAAACACAAGATGGTGTTTGGCAAACCTCTTCTTTCTTCGTTTGGCTGTTCTTTCCACAGCAGCCTGTTGGTTTTCTTTTACCTTCGCAATATATTCTTCATCCATCTTTTGCTGCAAACGTGAAACAAATTAAATGTGAACCAATATTAGTTATACTCCATCTTGAAATATATATCTTTTTACTCTTGAAAACAGACCCTATAAATAGTCAAAGGAGTAGTTCACTTTTAAAAAAAAAAACTTTGCTGATAATTTACTCACCCCCATGTCATCCAAGATGTCCATGTCATTCTTTCTTCAGTCGAAAAGAAATTAAGATTTTTGATGAAAACATTTCAGGATTTTCTCCATATAATGGACTTCAATGGGCACCAAACGGTTCAAGGTCCAAAAGACAGTTTCAGTGCAAACTGCAAACTGTTCAAAGGGCTTTAAACGATTCCAGACGATTAATAAGGGTCTTATCAAGCGAAACGATGACTCATTTAAAAAACAAAACAAAAAAGAAGTTTAGGTTTTATAAGCTCAAATGGTCGCCTTGCTCTGTTCTGTGATTTGTGTTCGTGACTCTCCCACTCAAACTCGTTTTTTTTTCAAAATGAACGAATCTTTTCCCGAGTCAACTCGTTCATTTCGTTCCTTAAATGAACCAAATGACACGAAAAAGATTTGTTCATTTTGAAAAACGAGTTCGAACAAGAGAGTCACGAATGCGCATCACAGAACAGAGCAAGGCGACCATTTGAGCTTATAAAAATTAAACTTTTTTGTTTTTTAAATGAGTGATCGTTTCACTTGATAAGACCCTTATTCATCGTCTGAAATTGTTTAAAGCCCATTGAACAGTTTGCAGTTTGCACTGCAAACGGTCTTTTGGACCTTGAACCGTTTGGTTTCCACTGAAGTCCATTATACTGAGAAAAATCCTGGAATGTTTCCATCAAAAACCTTAATTTCTTTTCGACTGAAGAAAGAAAGACATGGACATCTTGGATGACATGGGGGTGAGTAAATTATCAGCAAAAGTTTTTTTTAAAAGTGAACTACTCCTTTAACATTTTATGGTAACACTTTATTTTACAGTGTCCGTGTTAGATGTACTAATAACATAATTACATGCAACTAACCCTCAACCAAATCCTAATCCTACCCTAACCCTATAGTAAGTAGTACATGTAGTTACTTAATATTACTCAGTACTTAAACACATAATTACACTAACAATGCCACCTTAAAATAAAATGTAACCCATTTTATTTTAATAGAGCGGTTTAAAGTCTTCTGAAGAGACACGATCGCTTTATATAACGAAAAACAGATTTAATTTAGTCTTTTATTCACATACAAACATTACACTGGCAAACTCAAATCAATATTGATCGTCACAGCAACAGCACAATGTGCATCCTCTGAACCCAGAGCTTGAGAGAAGAGCAGATCCACCGCTACTGACGCCACACCCAAATTCAGTTATTTAATCCACTACAAATAACGGGTAGAACTGCATTCCATCTCTGCATATGTTTGGGTTGCTTATAATGTTCATCTAGGTACACACTTCGCACTGTGTGCCATTTCACCAGATTCATAACTTAATTTATAAATCTAAGCCAACACAGTTTACTGATTACTCGATTAATCGCTAAAATAATCAACCAATTACTCGATTACCAAATGAATTGTTAGTGACATCCCTAGGGTAAACCGAACTAGTGTATGACATGCATACACGGTAAAGCAATTTCTAGCTAATAATCATATGCTGTAGTGGCTTTCCAATAAGCCAGGGCAAGGTAGTAAGATGTTCCTCACTCATAGTTTGGAAAAAAACAATGTCCACACAAAAATATAATTTAGGCTACAGATTTAAAAGCCCATTGAACCATTTGTTCCCATCACTTGTCCCCCTAGAAACAACCTCGTAAGTTAAACATCATGTGATATTGAAAAGGTGACCAACATCTACACCACTGGTCCACACCGCCATCTAGTGGTTGAACAATTTATTTTGGCTTCTTTGTGCATTGGGCAAAAACATCTCTACCTTGTCAGATATTCGCTCCAGGAAGTCTTGTCTCTGATACTCTCGACGGCGCAGATGTCTATACACATGGAATTCACCACTGCCTGCGCCAGCACTGGAACCTGACAAAATCAAAGAGAACAGCACTCACTAAAGACACATGTACAGCCCTGAAGAGTGGTGGGGCAGAGTTAAATGGAAATAAATGACAAAATAAATCAATTCTGTTATCCTGACATTATTTGTGTGGTCAGAAATTCTGGGAATGTTGGAATCAATAGAGAGTAAATAGTATATACTAGACAAAATATGAATCCATATAAAAACTTAGTAGGGATGAGCAGAGCCGGACCGTATCGGAGTACATTTACTTGAGTACAGTAC